CTCATCGACTGAAAACAGGTACTAAGTATAAGACAATGTGGTTCTATTATGTCTAGATCAGGTACTATTGTAAGAATCGTGATATTTCTAATCCTTCATGTCTACCATGTAACGTGGATCGTTAACGCGTGATTTGGATGAAAAATAGTGGAAGTTAAAACATATAGGTAGAAATTGGACTAGTCATGTATGATGATTCTATGAGATGAAGTGTTCCATTCCACGAAGTGAAGTGTAGTAGTGGTGTTTTCTCAATAGTGTGTAGAGTTCATGACCATTTTATGAGTAAACGCAAACGAAAAACATTTTAAATCTCATATAAACTAGTGTGAGAGTGATTATGTGTCGTATAAACATCATTTTCAACCGAAATGCGGTGTTTCTGTGTTTTCACTACAAGTGGTACTGAAGACTCCATAAGTGGTACTAAACCCAAAAAAACAAGTACTACATTACACTATGACTGGTACTACTTTTTTAAAATGTTGACCACAGTTGAAAAAATCAATTATCCTTCACAAAAGTAGGTACTCATCGACTGAAAACAGGTACTAAGTATAAGATAATGTGGTTCTATTATGTCTAAATCAGGTACTATTGTAAGAATCGTGATATTTCTAATCCTTCATGTCTACCATGTAACGTTGATCGTTAACGCGTGATTTGGATGAAAAATAGTGGAAGTTAAAACATATAGGTAAAAATTGGAGTAGTCATGTATGATGATTCTATGAGATGAAGTGTTCCATTCCATAAAGTGAAGTGTAGTAGTGGTGTTTTCTCAATAGTGTGTAGCGTTCATGACCATTTTATAATTAAACGCAAACGAAAAACATTTTAAATCTAATATAAACTAGTGTGAGAGTGATTATGTGTCGTATAAACATCATTTGCGACCGATTTTCGGTGTTTTTATGTGTTCATTACAAGTGGTACTAAAGACATCAAAACGGGTACGAATACAAAGAAAAGGTGGTACTACCATACTCTAGGTCTGGTACTACTTATTGTAAATGTTGACCACAATTGCAATAATCTAATTTTTGTTGATCAAAGGTAGGTACGAATTGACCAATAGCTGGTACTGAACAGAAGAAGAACTGGTATTATTCGATGTAAAACTAGTACTCATTTAAAAAAAAATCATTTTTTTTCGTGGGAGTTGGTACTAAATACCCGATACCTTTTACTAGAACAACATAATATTGGCACTATCTTACTCTAGCTTTGGTGCTAATTTTGAATATGTTGACCAAAATTGAAGTAGTCCATTATTTTTTGTTCCTTCTACAATGCAGGTACTAATTCATCAATAACTGGTATTGAGTAGAAGAAGAAGTGGTATTATTCGAGGTAAAACCGGTACTCTTTTACAAAAATATTGGTACTATCTTACTCTACCTCTGGTACTAATTTTGAAATAGTCGACCAAAATTGAAGCAACCCATTATTTTTTCTTCTTTCTACCATGCAGGTACAAATTCATCAACAACTGGTACTGCATAGAAGAAGTACTGGTATTATTTATAGTTAAACCGGTACTGTTTTACCGAAATGAGGTTCTGCCAAACATCAGACAACTTATTGTTCACAGCCAAACAACACACAAGCCAACCCAAAATTCACAGTCAATTTCTTCACAGCCAACATACAAACATATTGTTCAAAGTATAATCCATACATCATCCAAAAAACAGTCAACATGGAGGATTTCCGAGGACGCGTGCTGCCATGTGTGCTCGATAGCCGTCAATCGAACAACTAATTTGGGCCTTCGAGAATTCATCCAAATCGACGGCGTAGCACTCCAAATCCATGCATATGTGCACTCCACAATCCTTCACGCCCGTCTGCTGCCTGAGGTATCCAAACTGAATATCCTTTTGAATGTCCCATCCAAACTTGAACTTCATATAACCTGCTATGAACTTGGCCTACACATAAAAAAAAAGGAAAAAACAACAAAATCCACCGGCTTTCCCTTTTTTTCCTCCCTTTCCTCTCCCGCACCCTCTTCACCATGGAGGAGGCCTCTTGGTTCTCCTCTCCCGCCAAACTGGCCGACTCCACCACCATGTCAACCAATCTGTTCAAATCAACAAAATTATTATTTTCATCATCAGCCTTCCCCTTTCGGTCATCCTCAGCCTCCCCCTTTCGGTCATCCTCAGCCTGATGCTCATACACCACCAGACCCCCTTTTTCATCATCTTTTTCCTCCATCTCTTTTTTCCCCTCCTCCTCCTCCTCCTCCTCTTTTTCCTCATTTTCTTCCTCCTCGTTCTCCTTCTCTTTTTCCTCACTCTCATTCGGCCCAAAACAGCCATCACCACCCTCATCGGCTTTTTCTTCATCGACTTTTTCCTCATCATCTTTTTCTTTTTTTTCTTTCCACTCGCTCCCCAACAGATCAATTTTTTTTCTCAGTTCTTCATTCTCTTCAAAAACCATGGCAAATAGACGGGTCTCCAACATTGTTCCCCCCTGTACATGAAAGAAAAAAAATTAAACTAAAGGGAACATAAATTACAGCTACGTGCACCTATGAAAATATATTAATGTTGAAACATAAATTAATGTCGACCAAAATTAAAGAAAACCTGGGTCTCCACAAAAGCACGCTCGGCAACCACAGGCGATACCGAATACACCTGCAAAGCAAATCATAATGATTTAAGTACGATATCGATTAACCAAAAAGATAAAAAGATGAAGTAGAAAACACATAGTACTATAAAATTATATAAATTACCTTATGCCGCATTACTTTTTAAGGGCCTGTAAAGACCCTTCAAATGTAGATGGAATCGAGGTCCCCTTCCATCTAAATAGACGAGGAACCGTCTCGAGCGTGGACCGTTTGCCCAGAGAAGGCACAAGCTCGTACAACCAAGCCTACACACATAGACATGATTTGAAAAGTAAACAAGCTCACCATTTCATATTATTGTATCAAGAAATTCAAACACACATATACATACCATCATCCCAACAACACATCCATCAAAGTAGGATCTGTCTCTCGATCCACCATGGCGAACACGCTCGGCAACCAGGAATTTATGAGTAGCATCTCCCCATGCGTACTCAGAATTCAACTCACATCCTCTACGTAAGGGTAAAGAAACCTGGGATGGAATAACTCGAACAAGGGAACAAAATGCAACTAAAAACAAACAAACTATAAATCCTGATGAAGTCGTCTACACGACCTTCATCCATAGCAAACTTTTCTAACAACTCTACAACATGGTTTCTTTTCAACAGTTTATTACCTACTCGACCTCAGCCGTCGAATAAGGCTTTTGACTCTAAATTAAGGTCTAAGTCTACGCTTAGACCGCCATGTCGAAGCCCCATCGTTACACAAAACTCGACGGGGTCAAAATTAAGAGAAACATTATCACCTACCACAAAGGCATTCACATCTGCCTTGTATGTGCTAATTAAGGCCTCCACTCTACTATGTAACACAGCTATATCAAGCATATTTAGAAAAAAATAAAACTGACTCTTTTCAAGAGCCTGCTTGTGCCGGTCAGAAAGCACGACAACTGTCATGTCCATTATATCTCTAAAGAACGAAGGGGCACATCGACATCTTAATTCTGTGTCCTATCACAATCAAATAAACCAAACAAAAATTTCAAACAACAGAAACAAAATAGCACCATTTCAACCAAACCAAATAGCACAATTTCAACCAAACCAATAGCACTATTCAACCAAACCAGCAACACCATTAAAGAACAAAATAGCAACACAATTAAAGAACAAAATAGCAACACAGTCACTAAACAATTAATACAAAATTAAAAAAAAAAATTAATAAAATTTGGAACATGCTTAACTAATTGAGCCCTAATTAATACAAATTAGGAAGATGCTTAACTAATTTAGCCCTAATTCATATAAACTCTAAACATGCAAAGAGCCCTAATTTATCAATAAAATTTTTAATTGTTGAAATAAAAATCAAATTCAAAGTTCATTAGCATCAACCAAATCCCAAATTCTGAAAATTTTCGAATTCAAAAAAATATGCAAATTTTTCAAAAAAAATCCTCAAATTTCGAATTCAAGAAAAAATTCAAAATTGTTGAAAAAAATCCCCAAAATCTTACCTTGCTTACTGTTATAGACCCTAATTTCAAATTCAAGCCCTAAATTGAGAAAAACCCTAATTTTCGAATTCAACCCCTAAATTGAAAAAAACCCTACAATTATGAGCAAAGCTCAAAAATCAAAAATTACCTTTGAGCTTGGTGATGCCTTTGTGGGTGTCGAGGAGGACGGTTTGCATGGAGATTTCTTTTTGGAGCCGGCCATTTCTTCACAGAGATGCGAACGGCGAGAGGGCGAGAGACCGAGAGAGAGATGAAGATGGCGATGGCGATAACGATGAGACCGAGGAGAGAGAGAAGGCAGAATATGGCGAGGAGCTATGGCGACTAACAAAGCAATCGATTTTTTCAGAGAGAGAGCAGAGAGAGCAGCTATGGCGAGGAGAGAGAGGGAGCCGATATGGCGAGGAGAGAGAAATGAACAAAATGATTTGAAATTTTCAGAAGTTATGAAAAATAAATGAATGATAAATACATTACATTATATATGGGGAGTGCAATAGAAAAAGTACTTTGGGGGTAGGGAGTGCAGAGGGAATAAATTAACATAGGGACTGTACTGGAAGTTTAAAGAGACATTAGGGATTTAACTTGAAATTTTCGTAAAATTAAAGGAAAAAAATATTAATATTTAAAATTATTTTTATACTAATTAATATTTTTGGTTGCTTTAATACATACATTTTATAATTATTGATCCGTGCACCGACCGAACGGACAACATACTAGTTTACATAAAAAGGACATGGTTACACACATTACTAGGTTATAACCGTATAACCCTCCGAAGTCCTAACAAAGATCCCCGAACTTTTGTCACAAACCTAATCTTTATTATCATTACGTTAATCATATAAAAAATACTGATTGACGTGCTTGAAATTGGAATACAGATGCAGATTAAAATGCTGAATGCATAAATTTCACTCTCTGAATAAACCCCCGAATCAGATAAAAATATGTGTGTAATAAACCCCCAAATCAGATAAATATTTCTCAATTTGATGAGCCTCTATACTGATGCCTATAAAAATATGTTTCACGTTCACCGTATACAAAACACAACACCGGTCATTCGGTAGCAATAAAGTGGAAATACATTAACTATCACAAAAATTTGTGGGAGAAAATTACACCCAGAACATTTGTTCTGAAAGTCACGACTTATAACAACGAGAAAGGCTTTCAACGCGCTCGACTTCAGAGGATAGCCATGCCCCTTAAGTTTACATGCCAAAATTGCACATCTGCACGAATTCCATTTCATTATCGACGTACTTCGTCCAGAGATGCTTATAACGATTCATGGCAATATCCAGCCAAGGTTTCATGTCCCCACTGAAATGAATAACTGCAGCCTTATCAATTTCCTCTAAACTGATGCTGGGATTTATCCCTAGCCCAAGCACATGCCATGATTTGTCCAGCGTCTTCGTTGTCGAGTAAAAGGTTACGAGCCCGGCAGGTAAAGTCCCAAGTTTCCACAAGGAACGGTCCTCATTCTGATAATTCATTCACAAAAACTTCCCAGTAAGTAAATGTAATTTAGCGCCAATCACAAAAGAAAACCACGGAATTTAATCTTCTGTGAAGGCACAAGCATCCCTGATACTGTTTTCCACTTTAAAAAATGCAGCTTTGCTGTCGAGTACTTACTTAAATTGATGAGGTTATTATAATACCTTAAGGGGTCTGTAAATCCTGAAACAAAAGTGAATATTTTTTGTACTTGAGCTAAACCATTAGCGTGATGGTTGTGATTATGTCATCTCTGTGTTATCAACCCATGTGTGTGTGTGTGTTTGTGAGCGCACATGCATGACATATATAGACCTATAAACAAAGAATCACATAACTCGGACTGACTTCATGATAAATGACGAAAATTCAGTATTAACAATAGAAGCATCCAGAAAAAAGTAGCAAGCTCCATTCGTGAAGCTTACCAGATTCTGCCAATAATGATATTGCTCGGTGTTTTTTTCCCGCCGCCAAGCATCGAGATCAAACAGGTTCATGCCAAAAGCCCATGCACAGGCCCTCGGATTAAATTTCTCCTTGATGAGAGGATGAGAAAAATTTAAATATTCGGAATAGCGGTGAAATGAGCCAAAGCAGGTATTGACAGCAGCATTGACATTTCCATCCATATCGATTTTCCACAAGGCGGTCAAATCTTTCTGAACCACAACATCGTCATCTAGAAATAGAATCTTGTGGAGCTTTGGATACAACTCAGGCAGGTAGAACCGTAGGTGGTTGAGCATCGATAAATACTTGGGGTTTCTAAATTTCATGTTGTTCACGTCTTTAGTAGTGTTCTCTGCCCTCGTCTCAAAGTAAAACTTCTGCAGGTTCGCAGATCCGATTTGTCTGAGGACAGGTGCATATGAGGAAGTTAAGAACTTGAAATTATCCACAGCTTTGATCTCAATATGGGAACCACCCTGTATTGGCCTCATTTTGAACCAAACCTTAGTGGCAGCAAAGTTCATCCTGTCTGTAACAATGTGGAAAACATGTTTCCATGGCTCCTCTGCATTCTTGACAACAGAGTTAACAACAACAGATATTGCTATCACATTGTCAGAAAATAAGGCATAATGGTATAAAGTCGGGTCTTCAAATTCGGGCTTGGGCTCATCATCCTCATACTTCTCGGGATGTGCAATTCTCTCCTCCATCAGACGCATTGCAAGACAATGCAAGCTTTTGGGAGTTGATTTAGCAGCAATCAGGCTGGCAAAGGCCCCATTCTTCTTTGCCTTCAAAAGCAACTCATTAACAGCAAATATTGTGTCTTTCAATTTCTGGATCTTTAATTGATTGTCATAAGATTCTTTAGAATCTGAAATCATTAGCCGAGCAACTTTCACTTTATCCTTAACCTCTTTCTCAAACTGCCTCAGGATATCTTCATCGACCGGCCCTTCGGATTCAAACAATGCAGTTCGATAGGTCTGCTTCAGTTGAAGATCCTGGAAATTCTTAGCCAAATCATCAAACATCTTAAGCTGCTTCGATATTTCAAGTTTGAGCTTCCTTGCGTACGCGCCATATGCATTAACTAAGGCAATATGGTTATTTGCCTGGTTATCTATCAAATCTAACCTAGTCTTCAGAGGATCTGAGCGCAATGTTAGAAATGTTCGAGTTACATGGGTGCCTCCTGTATGGTCGATAACCTATTCATAATTCAAAAAAAAAAAAAAAAAAAAAAATCAATTTTACTGAGGTCACCACATGTTCTTTAAGTTCCTCAAGAAACCAAAATTTTTTATAAACAAACATGCTCCCGCAGTTCGGAAAGTAACCCAAAAATGCAAGCAGTGTAAAATTAGCGTGAAAGAAATGAATAAATGACATTCTTCATTTGAATGGATCGTGGAACCAAAATTAATTAAACAACCACAATTTATTAAACAACTACAGATACAGCTTATAGAATTTACCGGAAACCAAGATCGATTGCAAATGATTCGTTAATTCTTACGGTTTCATTGTGAGATGGGTGAGAGGAGAGCAGTACGGACAGAGTAGCGAGGAATAGGAGCGTGAACATGGCGGAAACAAAGATCCGGTAGCTGAAGAAGCTCCGGAACACGGATCCGCCCCCCGATCCGACCCGACCGCCGCGGACCGCAACCGCCATGAACGATCACCTCGGCTGGAACCTGTAACTGCGTTTTCCTCTGCAAACAAAAATTTGGTCGATCCTCTTCGCGCAAATGATATTGGCTACAGCAGTATTCAATTGGATATGCGGACGCGTGGGGTCAGTGCGTATAGCTAGACACCCATTAAGAGATCTGGAGTGTGAAGCAACGAGGTGGTTAGAATGTTAGATACATAGAAGAAATCAAGAAAAGGAGAGAATTACTTAGGCTATGTTTGTTAAAACAAATTCATAAGCTAGTTGATAGATGATAAGCTAACTTATAGTTTTTATGTAATTTTCGAATTTATAGCTTAAAGTTTATAACTTATAACTGAAAAACTAGCTTATATGATAAAAGTGTTTGATAGAATTAGTTGATAAGTTAGCTGAAATAAAAAATTCAACTAGCTTATTTGAAAAGCTACCTAAAGTAGCTTATGAGATAAGTTCGAGTTTTTTAAAAAAGCTCGTCCGTGAGGCTTATTTGAATACAATGAACTTATAAGCTAATCAAATAAGATATAAGCTAGCTTATTTGGCTTACAAAACATAACCTTAATTATTTACTCAGTGCCACGATGTAGGTGTGTTTTTCTTTTTTTTTTTTTTTTTTTCTGCATCTAGTCACATTAATCAACGATCATAATTTATAATTAATAGAAACAATAGAAACAACTCTAAATCTAAATAAAATATTATTAAAAATATTTTTCTATACAACATTAATGATTTTAATTTTTTATCATCAAAATTGGCATGACCCAAATCAGTATCTCAAGTTCTTTCGACTTGTGACCCTACGTTGTAACGCCCCGTTTTATTTTAAAGAATTTACCGAATTTATTTAGTAAAAATCAGAGTTATTATTTTTTTTTTTAAATCCAAATTAAAACATTTATCAAGAAACGGGCGCTACTTACTAACCACAACAAATGAACACATCCAATCAATCGATCCAACCTACACATGCTCGGACTAACGATATTAAATAATCCCTTAAATTCATAAGTCTCAAAACATTCAAATAGATCTAGCTTGAAACAAGGTTCAACCAAAACTTAAACATAATTCAAAAACGGAAGTAAGAATTAATCCAAAATATGAAAGCAAATGATTAAGTAACAAGTTCATGCATAACACATAGTCAATATACAAAAATCAAGTAGGGATATAAACACATATTAAATATCCAAATCCAAGCGGGAAAATAAATCATGTCAAGGTTCAGTTCAACAAATCATAAACAGGCGGAAGCATAATATAGCGATAACATAATTTGACCAACGACCATCCTCTCGCTTGTCTTTACGCCACCGCCACCGACTCAGCTCAACCTAAAGAAAGGAAGAGGAGACAACAACAGAAAACAATGGGGGTGAGCAACCAACAAGCTCACCATTATCGCACAGTTATCCCGTATAATTATTTTAAAAGCAGTATCACGATAAACAGTATCAGTATCAGTATCCGTATGCATAGAATTCATAGCCTAACCCCCTACCCGGCCCTATCGCAAACCTCCTATGTACATACAACAACCTTCCGGATACGACGACATGGTTGTAACTGGAAACCTTCCCACCTCCGGATACGACGGTACATGGGATCCTTTCCAGGAGACAGTGAAGTTGAATTACCCCTCCGCTCTACACGGATTCGAGTAAATCAGACAATCCCCTCCGCTCTACACGGATTCGGGCGTCCACCTCCCGGATACGACGAGCAGGCGACTTCCACTGCTTTCGCATTCATTAAAGGCACTATCGTTCGGGACACTTAGACTAGAGTTCTCATGCATACAATAATTTTTCAAAGAAATATTACACGAAATAAGGAAGTGCGATAATTATGGAATACTTCATAAATGTACCCACCTGATAGCAGCAACAGTTCACAGAATCACAATTCCAGAAACGAGGCGAGGTCAACACCTCTAAACACCTACATTATGACAAGATCCTACAATCAGAATCTATCTCGTCTTAAATCGGAAATCACAAGACAGACCTAGTCGAACTCGTTTCGACTAAGTAGTTCGTGAAGTCCTGTGGATGTTGGAACACTAAGACTCGGCACTAAACTCGACCAAAACACGCAAGGGAGTTCACACAAATCCATCTAAGGATTGACCAAGTCAAACACACATAAAAACCAAAAAGCAAGTCGATTTCCAAATTTCATATAAAAATCATGTTCGAAAATAGAAATCATTTAATCGCATGAAAATAGAAGGTCAAGCTACCCTACGATCTAAGCTCTGAAAATTTACACAAAATTTCATCTCCCAGAAACATGTAAAACCACAAAGTTTCAGCTTTAAACTCGAAACACCCTATTTTATAAAATTCGAACAAGATATCAACAAAATAGGCACATTAATTCATACTCAGACTTAATGAATGAATCTGATCTTGAAAATTTCACACAAGATCATACAGTATGCCAAAGTCCACTTGTAAAAATCTCAGCCTTAAATGATAACTACTGCTATTTTTAAAAATTCAAACGAGCAACAGCAGTTTATCAAATTTAAACCCAAACTGAATCAAAACGGACTCCAAAAATTCTCATATTTTACAAACATGATTAAACACACAAATTAAGCCTCTCAGTAAAATTTCAGAATTTTTCATGCAGTAACCAATTTATAAAAATTCAAACAACATTTCTGCAGATACGATACATAAAATATTTACCACATCAAATCAACTCCAAAAATTCTAAAAAATTAACACAACACATATAAGTTACAGAGGCACGATATATTCTAATTTCAGCTCATTTCAGTCAGGCATGAATATTTTATGCATTTAACAATATTCTGGACAGATTATAATTTAATTATTAAAAATAGCTACAGGCCTCCAAAAATTACGAAAATTTTACACAAGGCAGACAATGAACAGATAACACATCCCTCAAAATTTCACATCGTTTCGAGCAGCGAGCTATTTTTAAAAATTCGAACACCGAAATAGCGATTAAAAAGCTCGACAACTTTAGCAATAAATCACAACACGAAATTTATCTTCCGAGGCCTTTACATAAGACCAAAGACTCGACATTGTTCCATTATCCACCGACTTACATGACTTTCGAGGTCTCGTTCGATTTTTGAGAAAATCGAAGAGATCCCGAACATACGAACACATACAATCACAACAATTCATATATTTGCACATATTCACTTAATAAATCACATCATATATAACACGAGCACTTTACGAACATGAACAATTCAACAAAACATATATGAATTAAACGAGACGGAAAAACGACGAGGTACCGTTCTCGAGAAACGAGCGAGAAGGTTCGAACGAGAGAAGACGGCTCGACGGGGCTCGACGGCTTCGCGCGGCTCGCCGGGAAGAGAGCTGCGGTGGTCCTTCACGATTGCGGGGTTGCAGCGATGGCCGAGACGTCCCGTCGGAGGTGGTGCTGCGAAGGAGAAGAGCTCGCCGGGAAAAGGGGTTCGCCGGAAGGGAAGATGCTGCAGCGGCTTCGAGAGGGGATGGGTCGTTGCTGCTAGGTCGCCGGACGTCGCTGCAAGGTCGCCGGAAGTGGTCTGGTTGTGGCGGCGCGAGGAGGAGCAGGTTGTCGGAAAATCACGTTCGGATGAGGTCACGTCGTCGGGGTTCGCGGCAAGGGGTCGCCGGAGATCGCTGCGTGAGTTGCTGTGCGCCGGAGGAGACGAGTTGCAGGTGGCGCTCGACGGAGGAGGAAGGCAGCGATGGTTGGCTGCTATGCGGACGGATTTTCTGAGAGGGTGACGACGGGCTGAGCACGGAAAGGATGGTGATGAGGAGCGGTGGAAGAACAGAGCGAGAGAGAGACGATGAGTTCTCTTCTCTGTTCACGTTCGAGGAGGGGGACGAGACTGAGGGAGAAGGATCAGATTTGAAAGAAGGGCAAAAGCTGCGTGTGTGTTATTGAGAGAATGAGAGAACGATAGATTAAAAGGCTTAGGGTTGGAAAACTTCTCTCACCAGAAAAAAAAAACATCACACACGCTCAAATCATGAGAGGTCCGAATTTTTGGGCCTTTGGCTGGTTTTTGGCTTGGGCCAAATGGGTTTTTTGGGTCATTGGGCCAATTTGCGACATTAAGTTGGCTCACGGGCCGGTTGGCAAAATTAAATCAGCTCACGGGCTCGATTTCGGTTCAAACGAATATTCTCGGCTCGATAAAATCGCACAATTAATAAATTCGGCCCTCGGGCCCGATTAAATCACACGAATATAAATTCAGCTCTCGGGCTCGGGTTCCTCGATTACTAATTTCGACAGTTCAAATCAATCGCACAACAAATAAACAAAACTCCAGACAATATAGATCAAATACGTACATTATTTTTAAAATACTAATATTATAAATCAAAATATACAATTAGCAATTAATTGAAAATTAGACATATAATATCTAGGCATTCAATTTGGCAAGCAATAATTAATAATATCTCAATAAAAATAAACATCCATAATAATAATAATAATAATAATAATAATAATAATAATAATACTTCAAATAAACCACAAATAAATGGGGCATTACATACGTGTATCTCAAGTTCTTTCAATTTGTGACCCTACTAAGAGTCACGTGTAGCTTCACATGACTGAATACAGAATTTTTCAAAACTGAGCTGACATGCGACAAAGACTGACATTAACTCTTATTTATCGTCATATCATATGAAATCATAAGAGGAAACTGTTACGCTGAAACTTGAACGTACTCTCTGATCTGACAGTATGATTGTGAGTCTAGGAATTAAAACCTTATCTTTAACTCTTGAACCATTCAAAATTCCACATTTGAGGACATGACTATCAATGTTCCTTAGTAGCATTATTGGAGTGTCAACATTCAAGTGCAATTTAAGATTCGACAATTTTGAGCATTTAATCCCATTCAGAAATTCTGGAGTGAAGATCAAGAAGAGAGTCATAGCCAGCATCTGACTTGCAAGTGCTGTCTGAACTTAGATTAGTCCTTTCCTTGGAGGCGTTCAATGAGCTCATGTACTCATTACGACATCAACAGAGGGAACGAGTATTGATATGTCTGTCTGATAGCTAACATCCTCACCTGAACTCCTGAACATTGAGCAGATACCCTCAACAATAGTAACAATAGGATCACCTTTTGATTTCATAATAATATAATCAGGAATGGCGATATCGACTGCCTTTAGTGATACAACATACTTGCCCATGGACCGCCGGTGGCTAAGTCGAACTGCTCCCGGATCACTGTCAGCACACCGGGGCTTTTGAACTGAGCTGGGCCAGCTTGAACCGCTTATGGGCCAGACTGGATCGGGTCTGATGTGTTGCTTGCGTACTGGGCAGGCGGGCAGACTTGAGTCTGCTGCGCTAGGGCGCACTGGTCGCGCATTCAGTGCTGCTATCGCCGAGACATATCACGCGATGGGCATTGTTAGCGAGAACAACTACAACTCATGCAGGGGTGCTGCATTGCCGAGACATCACATAGGACACGCAGGGACGCAGAGCGGGTCGCGCGAGAATGACATGGGCGTTGCGCGGTCTGGCCGAGCGTTGCACTGCAAGGGTCTACCTGCGCGGGCTATGCGCGGCCGTGCTTGGGCGGTGCTTGGGCGGCACGTGGCAGCACGCGTAGCTCTGAAATCGGTGCGTACGTCTGTGCCTGGTGGTCCTGGGCACGTTGGTGCATGCGCCTTCCTCTGGTGGTTGTGATCTCCAAGTTTTGTAGCCATTCGAGGTGCTGCGAGTTTGTATATATTCGACGGGATACATACACTCACACACAAAACAAACACACAGCACAAACACACATATATATATATTCGCGAAGTACAAATAAAAGACCTCGGGATCTTCTGCTGCATGACCAATCACCTGCTCCGCTTCATGGTGGTCAGGGACGGATCCAGAAATTAAGAGTAGACTGGGCTATAATTTTAAAAACTCATTTTTCATGAAAACCACATAATATTTTTTCTTCAAAGTTGTGCTCGATTTACATAATAAAATTCATTATGTTCATTTTATACCGTATTTAATGTGCTTTAACTAGTTTGACGATCCAGTTTTCTAAAGAATGGTGATATTAATAGGGGTTTTCCTTTCTTGACTGTTGGTTGGTGCTCCATGTGAATTTCTAAAAATTAAACAATATCAATAAATTGATTTTCCATATGGTATAGTTATTAGCAAAATGAAATGCTTACGCATCATAAAATTAGACTCAAATATGATATACAACAACCACACTAGATGATAAGAGATGAAAAAACAATTACTACTTCATACACAATCAACAAAATAAGAATTGCATTATCCTAGCAATTACTATTAAAATCCTAAATAGTTCAACTAAAATGAAAAGATAAATAAAGACAATTTGACAAATGAAACAAATATCTCATATGAGGTTGAAAAAATATAACTTACTATTAAAGCAAAAATTAAATCATCTTCTTGAAAGTAGTATCTTTCTTGTTGAGTAGCTCTTTTTTTTGTTCTTCTAAATTCATTGTTCTAGTGTTTAGAGGAGGAGAATGGCTGCAACTGATTTATTTGATTGGAGTTTGGTGTATCGTAGTGTTTTGTGGGTTAGCAACTAGTGGGAAGGATGAGTCAACAATATATAATATTTTATTAGAGTGGTGTTTGTGGTCTTCGAACTTAAATAGATAAGTGAATTTTTTTAACGGTTATTTCCTAAAAAATCCCTAATGCACATTTCAAATTCCTCCTCAGTCCCTACCACTTTAAAACTTCCTCTCAACTCCCTAATACAAATTTATCTTTCCTCTCAACTCCCCATATAAATACTATTTCTATTATTATTGATTTATTTTACTTGATAATAAATTTATCTCTCTCTTCACTCTCTCTCTTCGTCGTCTCTTTCTTCGCATCTACTCTTTTCGCCGTCTCATTCCTCTTTCCTAAAAATCGTTCGCCGTTCACCGTCTCATTCCTCTCCCCCAATTTTCTCGTCGTCGTCGTCTCTCTCTCTCTCTCTTTTTCCCGTCGCCTTCGTCTCTCCTCTGTCTCAATCGTCGTTCGTATCTCTCCTGCGGGAAGCAATGGCCGGCTCGAAAAAGAAATCTCCGTACAAACCGTCCTCCTCATCGACACCCACCAATGCATTAACAAAGGTAATTTCTGATTTTTGGGGATTCTTTTTCCTAATTTTAGGGCTTTTTTCAATTTTGGGGTTTTTTCAATTTAGGGCTTTGGACTAAAAACAACAGTTGGATCGCGATATTAAAACAATGAAATCACTAGCGAACATTAGCATCATTCGCTTGGTGTGTTACCACTATTCACTGTTTATTCATTATCCGCCAATTCTGTTTTGAATGAAATTCAGTAGGAGCTAGCAGTTTCTGGTTGATGCATGAAGCTAAAGTTTAACTATGTACACCATTATTTTGTATTATCTAGTCTGTTATTATTGTTTAGCATGATTTTGTTCATCGGTGACTTAAGATTTATGGACCTCAAGGTTTTCTATTTGGTTATATACTCAAAGAGATGAATTTAATATAGATGTTATATATAGTTGTGATGAGATTGTTTTTAAAGATAATTTGAAACCTAATGTTATAGAACTGCTATACTCTGGTTTTGGCATCTAACCTTGGATATGCTTTATTTTCATTAATCTCAATATAACTCCTTATGTTTTCTTCACATCAACTTCAGGTTCTTAAGAAGATTGGCATTGATTACCCTGATCTAGAAACTTTGAGAGTAATGAATTTCAGTTTATCCGCTTTAATGTATTATTTATTTGCTTAATTATTTGAATTTATTGCAGCTTGCTCTTTCATTGTGGGGCTATTTTCTTCAATTTGATAACAAATTCGTAGTACACGACTAGAACACCACTGCTCTTTCAGAATTTCCGATCATCTGTTAAACCCACCGGACAGAATTCTGGGTTCCCGTTATTAGGGCCGTTAGCCTCCTTCTCGTCTTCCTCTCAACCGAAGAAGCTGGTACTTTTACTCAAAGCCCGGATGCTGTTTGTGCGATGGCCTCAAAGATAAACTCGACACAGTTTTTTCTTCTTCCGGCCCGAATTACGTTGGCGACGTCCAGTTGGAGGTCCAATCGGTTTAACTTGTTCTCATGTGTTTAAATTTAATCAGTTTATTCAATTTTTTACTGCAGATATTATTGGATGATTTCTGATAAAATGTGAAGCTTGGGACTCATTTTGTTATCAGTTTTGTGTTTTTTTTTAACAGTTTGAAGTTCTTTTGGCCAAAAAATTATGCCCTTCAAGTTTTTAATGTAATATTGATATATATCACAGGTCACAAGCAGTGTTTTCTGTTTTGCAAAAATGTTTTATTTGAAGTTAATAGACTTGAAGTCTAATTGTTTGGGTGTTTTAATGAACTGCTTTTATTGTCCAAATTGGAATATTTTTTTTCATTTGTTATCAACTTTCTCATGACCCTTTCCATTTTATTTTGTATTCTATAAGTGATCCAGTGATGCAAATTGATCTGATCTGATGCATTGTCTTTGTACATGCACTTTGGTCTCTGGTACAAATGAATTTCTGAGTTTGAATTATAATAGGGCCTTTCTGTGTAATTGAATTTCTGTGAATTTTTTAGTAATTAGGGCCTTTCTCTGTAATTAGGGCCAATTGTGAATTTCTCAGTGATTATAATACTATTGTCTTGTACATCATGTTTTTTTTTTGTTTATCTGTGTAATCGAATTTCATCGAATTCCNTTTTTCTTTTTGTTTAGTTTGAAAATTCTCTTTGTTTTATATTTTGTGATGGGGCACTGAATTTAGAAGTTGATGAGCCACCTTCTTACTTTAAGGTTGTGATGGACCGAACTCTTGTTTTGCCTGATAAACATAAGCAGACTAGTCAACTGAGCCCTTTTCATTTTAATTTTTTGGTTAATATGCATCCTTGTTGACGGATGGTTTGGCTGGTGTTTGCTATTTGTTTAAATTGGATGTTTTGGTTTATAGTCTGAGGGTTTGACTTCGATGTTTTGATGGCTGATTGTGGACAAAGTGGATGATGGTGTGATATTGTGGATGATGGTTTGTGGATTTGGACAAGTAGTCTGATAGTTTGATTGTTGGATGGGTGATTGTGATTTTATGGATGATGGTTTGTGGACAAAGTAGTTTAATGGATGATGTTTTAAATTTTTTTGATTTGATTCCTAATGGTACCTGTTTTCTTAATATTAATACCTCATTTTTGGTATAAAAGTACTCATTTGCCAGTAGTTAGTACTCAGTTAAGGATGTTTGTGTTTTTAAACTGATACCAGTTTCTATTCGTAGTAGTACCTATTTTCTTCACATCAGTACCAATTTTGTATTGTTATAGTACCGGATATTGGCTCATCAGTACCACTTGTAACGAACACATAAAAACATCGAATTTCGGTCTCAAATGATGTTTACATGACAAATAATCACTCTCACACTAGTTTGTATGAGATTTATAATGTGTTTAATTAAGTTTAATTGAAAATTTGTCACGAACTCAACATACTAATGAAAAAATACTACCAACACTTCATCTCATTAAAATGGTACCAGTTTTGGGAACAATAGTACCGCTTCTTCTTGTACGCAGTACCTGTTTTTGATCAATTAGTACCGACTTGATTTCAACGAAAATCCCTTTTTCAATTGTGGTCAACATAGTTCATCTCATTAAAATTGTACCAGCGCATCTTATTCTGCGTGGTACCTGATTTTGATCGATTAGTACCTACTTTTATGAAGAAAATTTGATTATTTCAATTCTGCTCAACATTTAGAAAATGTAGTACCAGTCATAGTGTAAGTCAGTACCACCTTATGGTGAGTTAGTACTAGATATCCTGTCCCTAGTACCACTTGTAATGAACACATAAGAAAACCGAATTTCGGTCACAAATGATGTTTATACGACCCATGACCACTCTGAAATTAGTTTATACAAGATTTTAAATGTTTTTGATTGAGTTTAATCGCAAATTGGTCATGAACTCGATACACTAATGAGAAAATACTACTACTGGACTTCATTTCATTGAATGCTTCACTTCATCTGATAGAAATCATCATACATGACTACTCCAAATTCTACCTATATGTTTTCAATTAGATTTTTTTCATCCAAATCACGTGTGAACGATCCACGTGTCATGGTAGACATGAAGGATTAGAGAAATCGCGATTTTGATAATAGTACCGATTTTGGGCAACATAGTACCGCATCTTATTCTGCATGGTACTTGATTTTGATCGATTAGTACCTACTTTTTTGAAGAAAAATTGATTATTTCAATTCTGCTCAACATTTAGAAAAGGTAGTACCAGTCATAGTATAAGTCAGTACCACATTATAGCGAGTTAGTACTAGATATCCTGTCTCTAGTACCACTTGTAATGAACACATAAGAAGACCGAATTTCGGTCGTAAATGATGTTTATACGACCCATGACCACTCTGACATTAGTTTATATAAGATTTTAAATGTTTTTGATTGAGCTTAATCGCAAATTGGTCATGAACTCGATACACTAATGAGAAAACACTACTACTATACTTCATTTCATTGAATGCTACACTTCATCTCATAGAAATCATCATACATGACTACTCCAAAATCTACCTATATGTTTTCAACTCCACTTTTTTTCATCTAAATCACGTGTCAACGATCCACGTGTCATGGTAGACATGAAGGATTAGAGAAATTGCGATTTTGATAATAGTACCGGTTTTGGGCAACATAGTACCGCATAGTATTCTGCGTGGTACCTGATTTTGATCGATTAGTACCTACTTTTATGAAGAAAATTTGATTATTTCAATTCTTCTCAACATTTAGAAAATGTAGTACCAGTCATAGTGTAAGTCAGTACCACATTATGGTGAGTTAGTACTAGATATCCTGTCCCTAGTACCACTTGTAATGAACACATAAGAAAACCGAATTTCGGTCACAAATGATGTTTATACGACCCATGACCACTCTGAAATTAGTTTATACAAGATTTTAAATGTTTTTTATTGAGTTTAATCGCAAATTGGTCATGAACTCGATACACTAATGAGAAAATACTACTACTGGACTTCATTTCATTGAATGCTTCACTTCATCTCATAGAAATCATCATACATGACTACTCCAAATTCTACCTTTATGTATTCAATTAGATTTTTTTCATCCAAATCACGTGTGAACGATCCACGTGTCATGGTAGACATGAAGGATTAGAGAAATCGCGATTTTGATAATAGTACCAATTTTGGGCAACATAGTACCGAATCTTATTCTGCGTGGTACCTGATTTTGATCTATTAGTACCTACTTTTATGAAGAAAAATTGATTAGTGTAAGTCAGTACCACGCTATGGCGTGTTAGTACCAGATATCTTGTCCCTAGTATCATTTGTAACGAACACATAAGAAGACCGAATTTCAGTCGCAAATGATGTTTATACGACCCATAATCACTCTAACATTAACTTCTATGATATTTGATATTTGGTTAATTAAGTTTAATCGCAAGTTGGTCACGAACTCAACACACAAATGGAAAAACACTACTTAATACACTTCAACTCATTGAATGGTACCAATTTCGACGGAAATAATACCTCTTTTTCTTCTACGTAGTACCTTTTATTGATCGATTAGTACTAACTTTTGTGAAGAAAAATTGATTATTTCAATTGTGGTCAACATTTACAAAAAGTAGTACCAGTTATAGTGTAAGGCAGTACCACTTTATGGCGTGATAGTACCAGATATCCTGTCTCTAGTACCACTTGTAATAAACACATAAGAAGACCGAATTTTGGTCGCAAATGATATTTATACAACCCATAATCACTCTGACATTAGCTTCTATGATATTCGATATTTGGTTAATTAAGTTTAATCCCAAATTGGTCACGAACTCAACACACTAATGAAAAAACACTACTTAATACACTTCAACTCATTGACCTGTACCAGTTTTGAAGGATATAATACGGCCTTTTCTTATACGAAGTAACTGTTATTGATCAATTAGTACCAACTTTCTGGAATGAAAATGTAATACACCAATTAAAACTTCACAAAACTACTACCTATATTGCAGTATGAAATGCCAGTATATTGTACAAAAATATTACCCATAAAGTATCATTTACTAACCACTCTTTGGAATGAAAATGAGTACACACATATGTCCACAAAACTAGTACTTATATCGTAAAAAAAAGGTACCTGGTTTGACGTTCTTAAATACCCATGCAGAATTGTAAATGCATATGAAAATGAAACATCTTTTATATCATGTTTTGTACGTACTGCAGCATTACTCGCAAAATATTCATACAATACATACTCGGAATATGTCAATAATTTATCATCAAAATACATATTCCGACAAAAAAAAAAAATAAATACAACACATGCCAACACACCTGCCCAAAACAATAAACACAAATGTGTCCACGACCACCACAACGCTTACACTGCCTCACCGCAACATCAACTTGTGAAGGAAACTTTTTTTCCTTCCTTCGTCCACGTTCAGATCGTACATCCGGGCATGAATGGCATAATCATGTTGTAACGAGGAAGATGCCACATTATGGTCGTAGTTAACGTTCGGCCACCTCTTTGATATGAGAGTGTACACTTCGTCAAGCGTTGATCCAATGTGCATAGAGAACACAAACAATTCATTCTTGTATGTACAAATCCCTAGTATATCACTTTGTGCCCCTTCCATGTATCTAACAATATTTGGATAAATAAAAAAAAAACTTCACATTTCACAGGAAAATATGGTACAAAACAGTATTAAAGTGGTACTATATACATGCAAACAGAGGTACAATAATCAAGAATAGTAGTACAGTGATCATTCCCACCTTATTTTCTTGTTTTAGGGTGAATAACACGTTACATAACTTAACAATAGCATCAATCTCGTATACATAAACAAGAAATAAGAGATTTTGATCAATTTAATTGATTTATGGTTAATATGAACAACAATTTTTAAAAT